CGTAGTTTAATGAGTTTTCAATAACTGAATATATCAGTACATCCAGAACTCATATCAGAAAATAGTAATTACCGACATCCCAGGAGATCCACCTCTACTTCAAATATTTATATGAGTTTGGCATTCTTCTGTACTTGACATAAATGGAATCACAAGATATGTACTGTCCAGTTCTGGCTTCTCTTAGTCAACTTTGTGAGATATGTTGAAATTATTTTGTGTAATTGTAGACTGTTCATTCTAATTTCTGTGTGGTCTTTCATTACGTGGATATACTGCAGTTTATTTCTCTTTTCTTCTGCTTGTTGATGGACAATTGGGTAATTTTCACCATTTGGCTTTTATAATAGCACTGCTAGGAGCATTACATGTCTTGTAGTATATCTATGTAAACTCTATTCTTAGATATATACCTAGGAGTGAAGTCCAGAGCAATTTAAAATATAGATCTTGGAGCGAAATATTGAGCAATTTAAAGTTTTATTTTGTTTTTCTGAAATGTAGATGAGGAATCGAGGACCCATGCTATGTAGCAATGGAAAAGAATATAGAAGCTCTTCATGTACTGATGAGAAAAAATTTCTAAGGTATGATTATAATTGAAAAAATGTACATAACAGAGTGTACTATACTTTGTATAAAAAGAGAATAAGAAAATATATTAATACTTGCTTTTATATGCATGAAAGAAACCTTAAGAGGATAAAGAAGACATTAATAAAGATATCTCCCTTCAAGTACAAAGGGTGGTGGTATGAATCCAAGAAGATGGGGCCAGAAATAGAAAAACTTTTCATGCACACATGTGCACACATATGTACACATACATGTATGTATGTGTGTATATTATTTATATACACATATTTTTTTGAATTGTAGGAAAGTCTCCTCCTTGAAAATGAAAATAGGGGTACCTGAGTGGCTCAGTAGGTTGAGTGTCTGACTTCCGTTGAAGTCATGATCTCACAATTCGTGAGTTCAAGCCCTGTGTCAGGCTCACTGCTGTCAGCCTGTCAGCCCAGAACCTTCTTCAGATCTTCTGTCCCCTTCTCTCTGGCCCTCCCCCATTTGTTTTCTTTCAAAATTAAATGAATATTTAAAAAATGAAAATAAAATTACAGTCTTGGGTAAGACCTTTGTAAAGGCGATATTCCCTTTTTTAGACATGTTACATTTGGCCATAGAATTTCTCAGAAAATTACCCACTTTCTAGCCAGTTTCCTAGAGAGTAATTATCAGCCCCAGGTTTTAGCAGTGTGGTCCTTCCCCCAGGGCAACTGCTGCCTTCCCTGCTTATGTTCCAATTCTCTCTCTAGAATGAAGGTGACCAGAGGAATTAATTGCTCTTTTTTATAATGAAAACCAACAACCAAACCAAAACATTTTTAATTATTAAGCTAAATATATTTTAAAATAAAAGATTTTCAGTTTTGTTTAATGCTTTAAAGGGAGAACCCTTCACCCAGTTTTCCCTGATTTAAAACCATGTCATGTATTCCCAAGCAAAATGTCATAAAAGAGAAGTTAGGAAGCCAGCTGTTCACCCTAATGAAGACCTGCTGCATATTATCCAAATAGGAAAAAATATAAATCTGAGAAATCAAGAAGTGTCTTTTACATGGCCAAAATGATGAGTATCTTTTTTTCTTCCATCTATAATATATATTCTCATGGCAACTTGGCCTTCCAAAATGAGCAGCCTCAAGACAAGTCTTGGATAGCTGAGCCTGCTGAGCCTCCTTACCTCCTCACTTCCTTTGGCTTTATCCTATAGGGAAACACGGGAGGTACAGAGCTACCTCCTCTGCCCACACATAAAACCAAAAGACATGAATATAACAATGACTCGCCAACTTCTGGCCCCAAGTCACAGCTCAGTAAAGGCTTATATCCCTCCTCCTCCAGTCATAAATCTGGCTTCTTCTGCCTAGGAAGCCATTATAATTGATGGCTACATTTCAAAGACAAAATAATCAATATAATGGGCAAGTCTCCCTATCCATTTCTCGTAAGCCATACATGCAATTTATAACCCTTCTAACTGATCATTACTCCAGGAATGTATTGATTTTTTTAAAACCATATAGTCGACATCTGTGATTGCTGACTCCAAATAGAACTGATATTAAACAGCAAAATCATTCTAGCCTTTACATTTGTAAAGGATTAACAGTTCCCATCATTTCACCCCACTTTATGCAAGCTTCCAGCCCCAAGAGAATCTGTGATTTGTGGTCTTTGTACTGAAGGAACAAATCAGCATTTTTTCAATGCAGGAGCTCTGTTAAGTATTGTGGTCGACAAAACTTTAAAGATGCTCCCCACTAACATTTCTGCCCCTGGTTATTCAAACACTGATCTAGGTTACTGTGGTAGAGGAGCTTTGCCCATATAATTAAAGCTACTACGAAGCTGACTTTTAAATAGGAAGATAATCTTGGAAGATTGCTCTTGGCATTATCTAATCACATGAACCTTTCAAAGGAGAAGAGAAAGGCAGAAAAACCAGTCAGAAATGTGCAGAAGTCAGGGAAGAAGACACAAAAGGAGAGAACAGAGAGATCTCAAGTATGAGAAGAGCTTGACTGATCAATGCTGTCTTTGAAAATGGAAGAGGGGCATGAACTAAGGAATGTAGTTACTCTCTGGAACCTGACAATAACCTCTCCCTGAAAGCCAGCAAGACCACAGGGACCTCAGTCCCACGACCAAAGGAACTGAATACTGCCAACAAACTGAAGGACCTGGGAAACAGACTCATCCTGGAGCCTCTAGAAAAGGAATACAGCTCTCCTGCCATTTTGGTTTCAGCCCTGTTAAACCTAGAGTAGAAAAATAGTTGAGCCATGCTATACCCGAACTTCTCACCTACAGAACTATGAGATGATAAAAGGGTATAGGTTTAAGTTGCCAGTGTTGTAGTTATTTGTTATGCAATCTATTAAAAGCCCCAAACATTAGTTTTTATACAAGAAGTAACATTTTCCTATTAAACATAGTAGGGCCTCACACAAAATTTACTATCCACCTGACAGCATAGTCATCCATATTCTTATGTGCTTCTGCCTCCTTCTGTTATCTTTTCCACCATACTCTCCTTGTGGGAGCAACTGTGACTCTTTTCACTCATGAGTAAATGTATTTCAAAGGTTTTTGGCAAGAACTGAGTCTTAGTCATTGTTTGAATTTTCATAGCATCTGGGATGCAATCTGGCACATAGTAGGTCTTCAATAACCACTTTTTATTTTGAGTTAATGATTTATTTTTTCCCTATAAATACCATCTGAACACTGTTTGTTTGTTTGGAGGGTAGGGTGAATTTCCAAGTAAATTTAAAACTCTACCATGAACATGAGCAAAAATTGCCACCGATGCAGGGCACACACTCATCCATAAGCATCTTTTATCACCTCTATATCTATAGAATAACTCTAACTCTAACCCTAACTGAGTTGTAGCTTCCCAGAAATGGGGCTAAGCAATGCTAACACAACTTCAATCCCTGACACCCTATGTTTGTGAAACAGGTTATGGTGTTAAGTTCAGTCTGTGACTGTGACTAGAGATCAGAAGGAACACAAAATGAGGGGTCAGCTGCAGTTATATGTAGGAGTCAGTCTGAGAAGAGGGGTCAAGCGTTGGTACACAGATCAAGAAATGCTTATGGATGAGCGTGTGCCCTGCATCGGTGGCAATTTTTGCTTATGTTCATGGTAGAGTTCTAAATTTACTTGGAAATTCACCCTACTCTTCAAATTATTTCTAACACTTCTTCAGCGTATTTCCTCTGTGTAAAAATGACAAATCTCTCCTAACTAACCAACTGTGCATCTTCAGGAAAACTCTTTACACACGTCCATAGGCCCCACAATTGGGAGGGAGACTGTGTGAGAGCTGTGGTAGCCACCATTGATAATAATGCCATTGCCTTGGGAAATTGTCTTGCTATAATCTTAGCCTCCCAGTCTGAAATCATGGAACAGAAAGACTTACCAATGAAATTAAGTTGCTCAGACCCTGCAGTTTATTGAATCTATTCAAACCATATGATACAAATACAAGGACAATAGATACAGTAAATTAATACTTAGGAAAAAGTACAAATAGAGTGAAAGACCACACTACCTACTTGGGGCTAAACAGTTATAATTCATAGTTATCTACTGCTACATAACTTATTGTCCCCGAAGCCAGCAGCTTAAAGCAACAAATACTTTTTATATCACAATTTTGTGTGTCAGGAATGCAGTAGAATCCTGGAACAGAAAAAAATCATTAGAGACATACTGAAGAAATCTGAATAGAATATGAAATTTAGTTAGTTAAAGAAAAACTCAACTGCCTTATTCATTTAGATGTTTTTTTTTTTTTTTTGGAAAGAGTTTGTGAGTGCTACAGATATTCAGATTTTACTTCCTATTATTTTAATCTGAAAATGATATGTTGGCTGTTTATGAAACTCTGTTAGAACAGACTTTTTCCCCCCTTAGCTTTTTTATGGAAATGGTCTATTTTCTTCTGGAGTCTAGTGTTTTGTGGAAAAGAGTGAGAGTAATATATTTTTTTCTCTCCTTTGAAGAAGGAGATCTTTATACCTGTGTTCAGATGGCCATTTATTTACTTATATAGTTAGTTAGTTATACATAATAAGTTATTTACATTTTTAGTTCTCCATTATATCTTGACCATTTCTCAAGCCTGTCTTAAATGCTACCTCTTACTCATCTCAGGTCTATTCTTCACTGCTTCCTTAGTTTAAGAACTATGATAAATTTTGTTTCTTGTTTTTCTTCTAAATCTCAATTAAAAAATGATATATAGGGAATACAGATCATAGAGACCAAGAGACTTATAATTTGTCCAAATGAAGAAAAACAGAACAAAAATAACAGAAAAGTTAGTCAAGGGAAAAATAAAAACAAAACTTTACACTAAAGGATTATCTGGATCCAGAACCTTCTGAGTTTCAGAAAAGGAAAGAGAAAGAGAAAACACTTACTGCCAAGATGACTTGGAGCTAGATGAAGGAACTTCAAGAACTGGAAAAAGATATCACCATCATAAGTTTTTCTCCATGTCATTCTTCCTTCTATCTTCAGTAATCTCATTGACAGCTCCTTGTTCTTTTCAGAATACAAAGACCTTTTGCAAAAGTTTTCTGGTTTTTTTTGAGTTTCCACATGTATTCTGTATTTGAACTTCACTTCTGAAGTCTATGTCCTTCTTTTTGTTTGACATAGCGTATTTACAGAGATCTAAGGCCAGATTGCTTATTTACTCATCCTTGAGTAGAAGTTCTATCTGTGTCGCTATTTTGCCTTAGAAAATATATTGGAGGATTGTACTCCCCTCCTTTCTTTGCTTTCCTGAATACTTTTTCATTTTTCACTTAGTGCCTGAATTGGAAGACTATGTATTGGTGGTTTGTAATCTCTGTTAGATCTTGTGTTTTTTGAGTGTGGGAGGTGGCAGTGGTATCTGGAGTGAACTGACAAAAGGAGCACTTGGCAGCTGGTAATTTTAATTCGGGTAAGCTCTCTCTTAGCACTTGCCAAATTTGAAATGCCATCTGCCTGAGAGCTGTATGTGCTCCCTTGATTGGAAGTGTGAGGCTACCTCGGAGTTAGCCTTCCCCTTGCTTTGAGGAGAGTGAGTTACATATTGGCAAATGAATGACTGTGAAATCCCCTTTGCCCCCAAACTTTTTGTTTTATGGTTACTAACTTATCTCAGTTGACTTTTGTCTGAAACTGCAGACCTGAATCTCAGCTCACTGTTACCCAATATTCCCTGCCCTGTTTCATCTTTTATCATTCAGGACACATTATGAGTGAAGAAATCCAATGGCTTTAGTAGTAGGGTTTTTGTTTGGTTGTTTGTATAGATAAAAATACAGAAGCTGAGCTAATTTTATGTAGGGACTCATCTGCCACCAAAGACCTGGCATATCTCTGAATCTGTTCTGCTACTTCATTTATAGTTGAATATTGTTAAAGCTGAGTAATGGACACATATGGTTTATTACATTATTTTCTCTGCCTTTATATGTACTTGAAAGTTTGAATATAAAAAGTAAAATGAAATTACCAAAATGGGGAACTCACTTATGTCTCTCCTGTTCTTATCATTTAAAAAAAAAAAAAAAAAAAGTTGTTTTCAGGTTCTTTTCCTGCCTTTCATCTATATCCACTCCTCTGTACTGTGCTCAACATGCAAAGTGTCCTCTGTAGCTATCTTTCTTTTATTTGATCCAGATTTCATGTTTCTATTAAGTTTGTCATGTGGACTTGGCAGGTTGATTGAAGATCTATTGTACTGCACTATTTTAGGACTTTTATTCATTCACATGGGTTCTTTGGAAAAGGGGGTTAAATAAACAAGAACTTTTCCCTGACAAGAGAGTCTATTGGGAAAGATATTTATTAATTTATTAGAACAGAGGTCTCAATATTGCTCTAAAACACAAAACTGTACTGATATAAATAATCCACCAAAAATCATGACCAAATATAGTACTTTGTTGCCAGAAAGGAAGACTCAAAAAAAGCTTTACATTTGCTGTCTTAGCATAGTCCTAACTCCTCCTCTATTGAAATTACAACAATTCTACTTTGAAGCTCTTTCACCTGGTCCTGGGAACAATGCAATCTCAGTCCAAGGGACTATTAAGCCTTCTTCCAGTCTATAAAATAAGTTTAAAAATATTATATCCTTAATCTCATGGTTCCATCATTTAAAAAACAATCACTATATGGTATATTTTTAAATAATGATTTTTCCATAAAAGGGTACATAATGATTCAAAGACTTTCTGACTTCAGAAATGTGAATATGATAAATGCATTTGCCAAAGTTGTAAAAATCTAATTGTCTTCTGTTTTTCTTAGCCCAAACAACCTAGGGTTTCTTTGAACTCCAGGTGTCAGCAGTCTAACCAGGTTACTCAGCTTCTGCAGCCCTGCTGGGGGGCAGTGCAGGGGTGGGGGGTGAGAGGTGGGGTGGGAGATCAGGTTGTCTCAGTCTGACCTTTTCTGTGTGAGTTGTGGCTTTGCAGGGGTTGCTCGTGCCCCCATGTCTGGTTCACCAGGATACCAACCTTTCACCATATGCCGACTGTCTTGCACCTCTATCATTTCTTTCTGTTAACTCTGTTTTTTGGCAAATTCTTGAATTTTAAATCCCCCTCACTTTTATCTTGGAATTACTATTTCCAACTCCGTTCTGCATCTTTTACCATGATTTTCTCTATCCTGAGATTATAAAACTGCCCAATCCTCTCACTCAAATTCAAGGAGGATGAGTGATAGCTGTTAGAACTACTTTATCTGTCATACCATTATTTGGCCATGTTAGCTGCTTCACAGAACAATATTCTACACTATTGTAGATATTTCCATATCCTACCATTTTCTTATTCTTTGCTTAGCATAGCATGCTACTGTGGTTTATATCAGCTGCAAGGAGTCAGTGATGACAGTGTGTTAGAACCAAGAATTGCCAATCTCAATACATCATCCTTGGGATAGCCCTTTATTCCATGGCTGCTTTATCAGTTAACACAGTGGGATCTCTTTTTTAGAGGGAAGAGGGGAAATGGATACAAAGTCAAAAATTTGTGAGAGCTCCTGGGGAATATAATAAGCATCTGCTTTGGCTGGAACAAGTGGAGCTTTCTTCCCAAATAAACACACAGCCTGCAGATGCCACTGGCATGTCTTCATTATGGGCAATTTTTTTTCAGGTTAAGAGAAATTCAGCCTAACAGCTGTCATATCATGTCTTTTAACATCTCATCCTTTTATGATGAAGGAATCCACAACCAGCCGAGTGAGAAAGAAATGACTACTGATGTTTTGATTTAAATCAGTGAAAGTCTTCTTTCCACCTCTGCAAATCTTGAATGTTCTATAGCAGCAGCTCTGAGCTGCTTGTACTATGTTACTCAGGGAATAATATAGAATTTGGTGGGATAAAGCTAGGTCAGTTAAAATTACCCCCCTGTGATTATGTTTTTAATGTATTTGGGGGTATTAAGAATATCCTCCATTTATAAAAAAAAATAATGAGGATAGATGGTAAGTTCTGTTTTATTTTGTTTTACTTTCTTTTTAATAAAATGCAGAATTAGTAACACTCCTGTACCATGTGATATCAAATTCATGAAATCAAAAACCTTGATAAGTACTTCTATAATTCTTGAGTACTTCAAATACTTGATAATATTTATAATGGCACAATGTCTGACATAGAAGAGCATTTTATAAAATGTTTGTTAACATACATCTTGACTTTTGTTTATACTTTTACTTCATTGGCCCTTGAACAATATAGATTTGAATTGTATGAATCCACTTATATACAAATTTTTTACAAATAGATTTTCTCTTATTTTATTAACATTTTCTTTTCTCTAGCTTACTGTATTATAAAAATGCATAAATAATAGGCATAACATACGAAATATGTGTTAATTGACTATTCACGTTATCAGTAAGGCTTGCAGTCAACATTAAGCTATTAGCAGTTAAGTTTTTAGGGAGTCAAAGTTATGCAATTTTCCTAGTGGGCAGGGAGTCTGCATTGTTTAAGGGTCAACAGCACCCTAAGAGAGGTATCCCTAAGTACCCTAAGCACCGTTTTGTACTAATTCATACAATTTTACATTATATATAAACATTATTGTATATTCTTCTGCAACTTGATGTTTATTCTTTCAGTATTATTTTTGTGAGATTTATCTCTGTGTGTGAAATTCCACCTCTTACTTACACTTCAATTTATGCATTCTTCTTTGGATGGGAATTTCAGTGGTTTTTCCAGTCTATTATTAGACAGTACTTTTTACAGTTGCTCTTTACCTTCCATTTTAGGGCTCTCATTTCCAATAGGGCATGTCTAATTCACTCTTGAAAGAAGTAATTGGTTAAATGTAGCCTAAGGAAACAGAGATTTCACTCTAAAATCAACGTGACCATACACTAAGCATGAGATATGGCATATTGGAAGGAATTTTCTATGCATCCATTACTCATTGATGGAAATTATATTCCTCATTTTTCTCATCTGCCAAAAGGAATAATAGTGGTATCCATTTTACAAGGTGATTGTGAGGTTTAAATGAGTTAATACACATAAATGATTACAACAATATCTGGCACATAGTACATGCTATCTGAATGTTGGCAACTGTCATCATTATGGTAATACCATGGCTCATATTCTGCTATTTTCATATGTATTGTGGTGACTTTATAGGTATTGTTTTTCTACATCAAATAGACTATTCCTCGGGCTGGGCTTGGGTATTATATATTCATAGACATGAACAGACATTGTTGATAAAAACATTTCTGTCCTTCACAAGCCTAATTTCAAAACTTGGCATGTTTGGTGTTCTTTCAGTTGGCATTTCTAAGTATAAATGCAAAAAGATGCAAAGGACCTTTGAGCTGCTGTGAGAAAAACTGTTGTTAGTGAGAACAAGCTAGGTTGGTAGGAGAGCTGGAAAGTGGGAATGTAACAAAGTCAAGGGCTGCAAGAATATGCCTCTTGATCAAGCCTCTTTATATCCTAAGGCAGGAGACTGGAAGAATGTCATTCCATTTCCTCTCACTTCAGGCTACCTTAGATGAATACAGCTTTTGGTGGTTGCTGCGTACCCAGTCCCAATAGACTTATCCCAGGCTTTCAGTCTTCTCTCTGACTGACACACCCAATCCTCTAAACGAGGTGGAGATCAGTGGGTGGGTTTCAGGATACTATATTATAAATTCTATAAAAACATAAAAAATAAAAAGATTTATTAGAAATTCTACTATAATTCTATTATAAATTTGTTCTTAGAGCAAATCTGTAGCCATAGTGATATGATGTTATTGTCTTCTCTGCAGGTCGGTACTAACCTCCGATAGTCGTCCAACCTTTCGGGTCAGTAAGTCTTAAGACTCTGCACCGGTAAAGCTGCTTGTCTTATCTCCTTCAGCCATCAGTAAGTTCCCACCTTGCCTCTACTTACCACCCTCAGATAAATTCAAAGTGTCTGAAAGAGAGTCTAATTTGCTTATAAAATCACAACAAGTTTAGGGACACTTGAGGATCACATTCTACAGTGGAATCTGAAAAGTTATTTTTGTTATGGTTTCATGATTTCTCAGAGGGTGTGTTTGCCATTCTATAACCCAAGTGCCCAACAACATTTTATGAACTCTCTGTTCTTTAGGATTCTTTCAGCATCACTGCTTAGAGAATAAGGCTAAGGTAGCCCTTTGGAATTGCCAAGATGAGGAAGACATAAGAATTCAGGGCGCTCTCTTTGAAGCACTCACAAGGTGTTTCTGAAAAGTCTTTAGTGCCCAATGACCCCCCCTCTTTGAGTGACTACTGCTTTCT